CAGGGCTGAAGCAGACAGACGTGTTTCGGTGCTGGTTCGGTTCTCACTCACACTTGTTTCGGACCAACTTTTCACGCACGAGCAGCCGCAGCTCTGTCCGACTCACCCACCTGAACACCCGGTCAAAGTAACGGCAGAGCCTCGGACGGACACCGGAGGACAAACACGGACCAGCTTCGGACCGGGACTCGGTTTTTAGGACAAAGTGAGCGGGACTCAAACGGCGCCGCTTCGCTGTAACTTCATCCTCCGACAGCTAGCTTAGCCTGCTTCTGCAGCGCGAGCGCCCCGCCTCCGTCGAAGATAAGTGACGTGACGGCACGAGCGTTAAGGCGAAGCGATGATTGGCCGAAGACGCCTGTCAATCAGAATGAGCCGCCAAACATGTCCCGCCCACCCCCGCCTGGTCTCACCTGTAGCTTCCTTTAAGACGTCTTCATTTATTTTCTGTTTTTATTTTAAAAATAAGAATAATAAAAATAAATAAATAAATAAAATGTTGTTATTTTTATCATTTTATTTATTTGTCTTTATATTTCTACTTTTATTAGCTTTTTATTTTATGGATTCATATTTGATTAATATTGCTTTATATTGCCACATTATTGATTCTTCTTTTTATTTCCACTTTTATTTTATTGCTCTTTTATTGATTTATTTTTATAATTTGGCACTCTCACTACTCCATAGTTATCTACTCTTTTAAAATATTCCAATATTTGTGCGGAGATGTTTTATTTAAAAGCCTGATTTGCAATATTTTTTTTTTACAAAATTAATAAATCCACTTTTTGAATCGTTTTATATTTTTGTCCTTATTGCATGAAAACCTTGAATATTACTAAACATCTGTAAAACAGAGCACATCCTTCCTGATGATGTCATCTTTTCAAATGGGAAGGGGCAAATATTAGTTAAAAAATAAACTTGGCCTTGAAGCATAATTGATTATGAATAAATAACTCGGTGACTAAATGTGTAAATGAATTAGGATCAAACAGGTTTGGATTGATGCTGCCCTCATGAGGTTAAAGCGGTTTACTGCAGGACACTGGAGGGCACCAGAGTGATTTTATAAAGTGAAGGGGGATGCGACTGAGCCTGGTTTAAATCACCTCAACATTCTGAGATCTGAGCAGCTGCCTGAACTTGACAGGCTGATAGGAAACATCCTTCTTTACAGGACACCACCTCTACGAACTTCTGCCCTCAGGGAGGTGTTTCAGGGCAATAAAGACAAGAACAAACAGACTAAGGAACAGTTTCTACCCGAGAGCTGCCGTCACCCGGAATTCCACAAATTCCCATTAATCATTCTTCAGTGTAAAATAGAAAAATCTCTGTTCACACCCCTAGTGCAATACCTCTGGTGCAACAGCCCCAGTGCAATAATTTCTTGAACGCAGTATCCCAATTGTTTTTAATTTATTCATATTTTTTGCTCTATATTCTCTTTTTTTCTATTCTTCATCCCTTTAGTTGTGTAAAAACCCCTAAATAAAGAGATTCTGATTCCACTTCATCAGGACACACACACGTATTATCTGCATGTGAACAGAGTCTGGAAGCAAGTCTGTCATGTTTTAAGTTGAAAGTAAAGGTCAGTGTTGAATGCTATATTGTGCTCCCTTGGCTTTTAAAGGCTTTAAAACTCTTACCCCAGGGTCACAGCAAAAATGGACATATTGCACCGCCTTGTTCTTGGGAGGTGCCACACAGAAAAACCCAACTTTTACAGTCATGACAGACGATGTTAAACAAGCTGAATATCTCCTGCGCTGCAATTACAAAACTGTACATGTATTTCTGACTGTACGTTGACAGTGGATTTAGTCGTGCTACAGCCCATTATGAGCTTATCTGTGGTACTCATGTTAAAAACTGTCTTCAAAAACCGAGTTTACTTCATTACATGTGCATCTGTTGTGGTAACGCTTGTAGTCGGCGGTGCATACATGATGATGAGACATGTGAATATCAAAGAACAATAAAAGAAGCCAGAGGTTGGTCGGTCAGTTTCCTTGTTTTATTGGAGATAACATGTTCTGTTACAGTTTCAGGACAGCTCGTGTGCGTGTTCATCTACCAACAGAGTTCTGTGTGTCGTACAGACGGAGGAGGCCAGGTTGTGGACATTAAACAGGTCTGTTTTAAAGCCTGAAGAAGTGGCCTAGTGACACACACTCACACACACACCGATGCGCACACACACACTCACACACTCACACACACACACACACACACAGAGGTGACACACTGACACCGGTTTGGATGTTTATATTAGTGGAGGGCTTCGTCTTCAGAGGCGAGAGCAGCGAGCCTTCAGGGGTTCTAAGCGCTGCTGTTGGCCAGTAGGGGGCGCCAGTCACTGGGACAGGAAGTCCAGGGCAGTGTCCCGCTCCTCCACCAGCTCTGCTGCTGTGGCGTCCATCTTGGCTCGGGAGAAGTCGTTGATGGGGAGTCCATCGACCATTTTCCAGGTCTTGTTCTGTGGATGAGGACAGAGGGGGAAAAGTAGTGGTTGAGCTTTTGTTTTTAGGTATTTTGTCTACTTCTGTTTGGGCTTCAGACGACCCTGTTATCAATCTGTATCCCTCTGTCTCCTAACTGACTTCTGGTTGAGAATTNGGCGTCATGAAATGTCGTGTTTTGTTCAACTAGCAGTCCAAAAAACTCAAAAGAACCAATCTGATGAGCTGGAACCGTCAGATATTTGTGTCATCGAACGATATTTCAGCACAGATTGTTGTGTACAGCTGGACGGTACCGGCAAACATATTGTACAAATGATTTACAGTCGTCCTCTAATGTATTCATAGCCTCCCACTAAAGAAGAAAAAAACAGCTTCAGTCACTGAAATAGACAAAAGTAATAATAAATAAAAATCTAATGAACATCACGACATTGCTTTGAATTGTGGTTCAACAGAAATATATTAAAAAAACACACAATCAAACCAGCATCATGGAGCCAATCACTGCCATCATCAGGTGTTTCTGTAACTCTCAGTCAGACTTCTGCACCTGTTGACAGGTGTTCTGGACCACTGCTCATCAGCAAAGGCCTCTCATTTGTTTTGCTTTTTTTTTTTTTTTATTTTTCTTTTCAACCATAATTCAAAAGCAACGTCTCATTTCACTAAATTATAATTTAACAAATTTTTATTTATTATTACTTTTTCAGTTTCTAGTTATTTGAGTGACTGTTGTGAGTTTTGCCTTTTCTTTAATGGGAGGGGATGAATACATTTGAGGACGACTGTATTATGTAACAGTAAATCAAGAATTTGGGTTAAAGCTAAAGCTAGATTTATAGATTAAGATGAAAATTAACAGCGTTCTTATAAATGACTACAAAACAACCATCAAACTTAAATATTATATAAACTGGACATATTTTTTCTTCCATTTCTTCGTTAAAGCTTCATGACTTTGTCGTCTATGTTGTTGCAACAGGTTTTTTTTTGTATTTGAAAGGCTTCCATGTAAAATAACTTCCTCAGAGACGCTGTAACTGCGACCTTCACCTTCTTGGTGCATAAAGGTCAAAGGTGAAGATCCCACTTGTGTGCAAAGGTTAAGCACGAGTTCTGAAATTCACTTTGTGGAGATGTGGATGGAGGACTTGAGGAGGGACGTTCACAGGAGTGTGCTCACTGTATTTACCTCTAAACTATCACAGCAGTAAGAATGGTTCTGATTCACTCCTCACATAAACACCACTGGTCTGGTTTTCTACATCTTCTATCAGCTGTTCTTGCTTCATCACATTTATGTTTTATATCTTGTTGTAGATGCACACACACATGTTGTGTTGTGTTGTGAAGCAGTGTGTAGCTCTATCAGACTGTATCTGGAGCTCCACTGTGTGTTTAGTTCATCATAAACAGTTCTACATGTAAAGTCCTGTTTCTGCTGCACAGTCACTATGTGATGATGTGTTTATGTGGAGGTGAGCGTTGGACGGTGTCTGGAGGCTTCTGTCTGGGAAGTTATTGGTGTCACACACACACACACACACACACACACACACACACACAAACTCCTACACACACACACACACTCACTCACACTCACACACAGACACACACACGCGCGCGCACACACACACACACAGACAGACACACACACTCACACACTCTCTCTCTCTCACACACACACACACACACACACACACACACACTCAAACACAGACAGACAGACACACACACACTCTCTTTCTCTCTCTCTCTCTCTCACACACGCACTCCTACACACACACACAGACACCCCTACACACACACAACACACACTCACTGACAGACAGACAGACACGCTCTCTGTCTCTCTCTCTTACACACACACACTCACTCACTCAAACACACACACATACACACTCTCTCGCTCTCTCTCTCTCTCTCACACACACACACACACACGCAGGGCTGAAGCAGACAGACGTGTTTCGGTGCTGGTTCGGTTCTCACTCACACTTGTTTCGGACCAACTTTTCACGCACGAGCAGCCGCAGCTCTGTCCGACTCACCCACCTGAACACCCGGTCAAAGTAACGGCAGAGCCTCGGACGGACACCGGAGGACAAACACGGACCAGCTTCGGACCGGGACTCGGTTTTTAGGACAAAGTGAGCGGGACTCAAACGGCGCCGCTTCGCTGTAACTTCATCCTCCGACAGCTAGCTTAGCCTGCTTCTGCAGCGCGAGCGCCCCGCCTCCGTCGAAGATAAGTGACGTGACGGCACGAGCGTTAAGGCGAAGCGATGATTGGCCGAAGACGCCTGTCAATCAGAATGAGCCGCCAAACATGTCCCGCCCACCCCCGCCTGGTCTCACCTGTAGCTTCCTTTAAGACGTCTTCATTTATTTTCTGTTTTTATTTTAAAAATAAGAATAATAAAAATAAATAAAATGTTATTTTTATCATTTTATTTATTTGTCTTTATATTTCTACTTTTATTAGCTTTTTATTGTATGGATTCATTTTTGATTAATATTGCTTTATATTGCCACATTATTGATTCTTCTTTTTATTTCCACTTTTATTTTATTGCTCTTTTATTGATTTATTTTTATAATTTGGCACTCTCACTACTCCATAGTTATCTACTCTTTTAAAATATTCCAATATTTGTGTCGGAGATGTTTTATTTAAAAGCCTGATTTGCAA